TGAGATATGCAGGGAAAACAGTTTAGCAATCTACCTCCTGTTGAAATTAGTGAGAATTAGGAGCATTAATTTTTCTGAAAACTTCACAAGGCACCTTTCTGCATATTCAGGCACCTCAAAGAGTTTATTTTGGGCCCAATGCTTGCCTCTGTTTTTATCATTAATTTGGAACAAAAGAATCAAACATGCAGAGAACTGATTGTTGGAGAAAATATTGGAATAATAATAAAAATATATCACATGAGCTTCATTAATCAAAGAATTATTTCAAACAGTAACATAATTAGGAAATATTTACATGACATCTAGTATAGATAAATAAAACACTGTATAAACAGGAAAAAGAAGTATAATAAGGAACCTAAAGATGATAGACAATCTGCCTGAGTAGAAACAAGTTGAATAGGGAAGGAATAAGATGCTATAACAAATGGTATATTAAATATGAACTCACATGGTGGACAAGGATCAAAACTCCTTTGCCACTGAAACATGAAACAGCACTGGAGAGAAGCATCTTGCATTGAAAAAGGGTTTACTAAGCAACCTATTAGGTCAGCCATCTCTTACCTCTCATAGATACATAACAGAGCAAGTTGCATAAATCCAAGTTCTATAAGCAAATGTAAGTTACATGTAAATGTATCAACCATTCATCTTCTGAACTGCTTCTATCCTCAGAACAGCACATTCTACTTAGTTCTGGCCACCATTACTTAAATAAGACCCGTTGGAGATTTTTCAGAGAAAAGAAACAAGCTTAGTAAAAGAGCTGAAAAAAACACAGCTGAAAGAAGTACCAGTAACTGTTTACAGACATAGGAAGAAGACGTTATTATCCACTAAGAACAGAGTAAGAACTGCTGGTCTTAGACTGCAGCAGAGAAAATTCGGGTTAAATAACTAGAGAAACTTGGAAATGTAGTTTTTAACAAAAGAATCAGCTTCTACAAAACACTATAGGATCAGTGTCTCTGGGTACATGCAAGGTTGCATGAGTCACTGATCCAGCAAGGATCATAAGAAGGTTTCAGTCAATTCTCATTTTGCAGAAGGAATGGATCTGAATGCATATCTCAGCCTCAGAGGGACTGTGAATAAAGAATATGATACAAACATAAGATGTTATGCTAAAATAGCAGTTTATACAGGAATAAAACTAAAAAGAGACAGGGATATACTGGTAAAAGGAAAAGAAAGAAACAACTGCTTTTAGAGATGGGCAAGGGAAATCTTCCATACATAGAGGGACAGAAAAAATAGGTGGAAGTATGTACAAAGGTAAGTCTCTGTGGAACAAGAGAAGAATGAAAGCAGACAAATCAGAATGGACAGTAGGAAAGTTAATAAATTGTAGAGATTCAGCACAAATTAACAGCTTTGGCTAAAGGAAGTAGACATCTGGAGTCATGAAGCTTAGGTGCTACAACTGTTTGCAACTTTTAAACCAGAACATAAGTTTCTAGATAAAACATCAGAGAAGCCTTTTTAAAAAAAAACAAAAAACAAAAAAACAAACAAACACAAAAACCAAACAATAAAACAAAAAAAACCCACCATATAATAAACAATATGAAAATAGCAGAACAAGTTTTAAGAAGACTGCTGTGGTAGAACTGACGGTTCCCCAGCTGATCATTTGACAATATGATATCAATTCTTATTATGAACGCAGGTATTCATACATTTGTTCACTCTGTCCCTCCTTTAGAAATCACATGCCCAGTTTATTGTGGACAGTCATAGTAGTGTATTTTCCACTTCTCTTGCTTGATATCAGAGGCTTTGCTTTGCTCAAGTCCTACTTTTCACTATTCTTTAAGGCATTTGCTCTCTCTCCGAGCCAGGTCTTCAAGCTATGTTTGGGTCCGGTCTCATACAGCAGCTGACCCATTCAGCTACATCACTATTTTCAGCCTATACCCATCTCACACCAGGCTGCTTTGCCACTTTCATTATCGAAGCGTTTATCCCAAGGGAGCTCAAGGCACAACACTATCCAATGCAATTGGTTGAAAATCTGACCAACTAGTTTTCCACTTGCTGATTTGATGAAACAAGGCATTTCATTATATTAATCATATTCAAATTATGTTACCAATTTTATTGATGCTTTGAATGGTCAAATATTTTATTCTGAACTTCTGACAGAGTAAATCCTCAATGAAATCAACTGAAGTATTTCAGAATATTTCATTCCACAAAACAAGTGACCAACCACCTTTTCTTAAAAACAAAGGATGACAAAACATATTGAGATCTGAAAACCTTCCTCCATATAGAAATTCCATATTTCCAGTCAGTTTTAATATTGGAACCAGATTAAATATCGGTGTATAGCTGAGTGCCTCTTCCAAAAAAGGCAGGCCTTTTCAGAAATAACGTTGCTGTCTTCCAACACAAGGGGCAGCATCAGCTGGATACTGCTCTTACATCACCTTACTGACACACAGACTACTTTTTTCCCATAACCTTTTTGTTACTGATGAAACCTGGTGATATGTTCTTGTTTCCCATAAATACGAATGTGCAGCTATGAAAAAAAAAAAAAAGCAGAGTAGTTCTCCACCATAAATCATTTTTTACACGCATACAGTTAAATAAGAAAATTAATTTGGTTTATATATGCTTATGCTTTCTTCTTTGTGGTCACTCTCCAAACTCAAACATCAGAAAAACCAACATGGAGATAAATTAAATAATATACAGAAGAAGTAAAGTGTCAACCCATTAAGCTAATTATTTGTACCAATAATGTGATTGTGGGAATCATGTTTTCCCAAACAGGAAACAGATTCACTATTTTTGACCTGCATGTTTCCATCTAAAATAAAATTATCAGCCCAAAACATCTGTACATGGAGTCCTGCAAACCAATTTCTAACCTACCACGATTAGATTGAGCTTTATCTATAAAAAATATTTAGCAAATAATTTCAAAGAAAAAATTGGTTCAAGAAATCCATCCAAGCAGGAAAGAGGCCTCAACTTAAGCCAATTATTCACAATGAATTGTATGTAATATTTCTACAGAAAGTTAACCAGAGCAGGATATTACTTCAGGATGACAGCATTACAATTGGGACAGTTTTTTCCTTCTGCTCCACAGTCAGGTAAAAGAGTTCTGCTACCAAGTAACCCTTTTCTCAGCTATCTACAATGGAAAAGGAGTCACTGTGTAAAGTCTGGATTCTAAAACTCCTTATGACTCACCTCTAACTATAAGTTTCCTAAAAATGAAAGGTGTCAGCCAAATGAAATAGGAAAGTTTATATTTCCAAAACCAAAGAGAAAAAATTATGCTCCAAAATGTAAGCCAAGGCGAAATTCCATCAGTACAACAACATACCAGAGCCTTGACTTCAGCCCAGATTTCTGTTGCCTGCTTTGATATCTTAGATGTTTTATCTATTCTGTGCATGTTGTGGGTTCTCTGTAAGATCCAAAAGCAAAGCCAGATCAGACAATAAAGAGTCATTATGTTAAAAATGACTATCACTGGCAAGTGTCCTTAGATTTAAAAGGATGTTCCAGAAGAGAGACAAGGACTGTTGTGCATGTATCAGCACAGGAAAGCTGTGGACTTCAG